ATTCTGATCCTCCTAGGTCCACTCAATATGGAAAAGCCCACGGATGCCACATCTATCACCCATCTTAGTGAGTTTCACACTTTATCTCTTGCAAGGTTTGGTCCTGATATTTGCGTTTCTCCTGAATGTGCTGTGTTAGTGCCACTTGACGCTCCAAGCCTGAACCAACAAATGATTGATTCAACCAGCCAACACCATACAAACGCACTCACTGATTCTACCTCATCAACCATGGATACCGACTCACCTGGCCCCCCAACAAATATAACCCCCTCGAAACGTATTCTCAGTGCTAGCAAAACTAATTCAGAATGTACTACTTTTGCAACAAATTCAAAACGTAGGTTCTATTTCTTATTATCAAGATGGTAATTCCTCGACCTAACTGTTTGCGTTTTGAAGGGAGGATTATAGATTGCTCTAACTGGTGTCGTCGTTATACTAAAAATGAAGGTATGTGATATACTATAAGAAAAGAGATTTCATTGCAATTTCGGAAGCTCACATCTTTTGTACATACAGATCTATCCCACATTAACCAGCACGATCCCATGCAACACCATTGTACCCGCGATTCTGAGTCCACGATCCCTGCGCAATCAACTTCTCATGAGTCCACGATCCCTACGCAATCAACTTCTCATGAGTCCACGATCCCTGCGCAATCAACTTCTCATGAGTCCACGATCCCTGCGCAATCAACTTCTCAGAATCCATACAATCAAAGCTACACTCCTCAAGGCGGCGACTCTAATCCCCGCATGGGATTTCACCAATTCAACCCTACTCTGACTAATACCCCGGCATATTCTGGTCCACAAGCATTTGGCTGGCATCCACAGCAGCTTCCAGTTTATCCTATCTCGATGGGCCTCGGAGCAACTTATCCGAATATGCCTGTTATTCAGACCACTCCCATTTCACACCCACAAGGCTCCGGGACACCCTTCATTTTATTTCCGCCATCATCTAATTTCAATCCATACACTCAGAACATGCCGCCTCATCTTGCCTCCGAAGTTGCAACCAGTCACCCACCTTTCAACTTACCAAGACCAACTGAGAACATAAGCAACCCTTCAGAAATCAACATGAGCAACCCGTCACATACCTCAACAACATCTGCAACTCTTGACCTTGGAGATTCAACACGTCACACAACTGCCAATTCAGGTGACCCTTCACGCACCTCAATTCAACGCCAGTCAAGCACCTCAACCCGTCAGCAGTCATCATCAGCTTCAGGACGCTCTCTAGAGGTACCTCAATCCACATCACAGCGCTCACACTCTCCAGCTCATAGCTTGACTGATGATCGACCATCACAACTATTCAGAGAATCATCACACTCACGAAGCTCATCATCTCACTCATCACAACGTACAACAACCTCTGCACGTCGCGATCGGTCTACACGAGCCTCTGGAGAAGCCTCAACATCACGACGAAGCCCTTCACCTTCACCAGAACGATCTGATGTGTCATCTAGTGAAGAATCTGATGAATCTAACAGCGGCTCCGAAAGCGACCTCGATGTGCATCAAAGACAACACTATCAGCGTCAAGCAGCCCATTCTCGTTCTAAGATTACCAAATCACGACGCGATGGTGTTCGGTTTGAGAAGCTCACTGAAGATCAAGGGCCTTCCAAAAATGAGCAGCTATCAATTTGTATTCAGGATTACTGTAAACTTCTTCTAGGTGTCACACGTAAAGTTCGGGGTCAAAGGAGAACATCAACACTTCCCAGCCCACCATCTGAAACGGAAATTAGCAAATGGGAGAAACGCAAGAAGGATCGGAAGACAAGCATTGCAGAACGTATCAAGAAAGAACGAGAAAGGTTTTTAAAGTACAACCCGGCCCCTAAACGCGCGGAGCTGAAATTGATTGAAGAAGAAGCGACCAAAAAAGCTGTTCAAAAACTCAAACCGGCAATCTTTACTTCGCGTGTTTCCTCTCGAAACTCTACCAAATTCTCAACCACCGTAGCATCAACTTGTGAGGCAGCGCTTGCCCTGGCTGGATTCTCTAGATGCACATTCGATTGGCTTAACCCTCTCCAATCTAAATGGAACGAAGCGATGTCCACTATAATCCTACAAGAGTGGGAAAAGTGCTACTATAGGGGTGATGCATCGAGGTACTCTATCAACGCTGATCACGCCACATCCTTGAACAAATTCAAGATTTTTGAGCGATGGTACAGCACGCAGCGTTCAAAGTTCTCACGCCAATTTCGCGAGACATCAAATAAGGAGAACGATCCGGGTTACAACTCCATGAACGATGTTGATGATGATAAAGAGGCAAGGGATAAGATTAGCCGGGCTAACTCAAGGAAGCGTGTAAGTCTGATGGTCTCCGTATCTCCGCCATCATATTATTGTGTATCTGATTCTTGTTTCTTTACGTTATCCTAGGTATCTACACTTCGAGCTGAAACCTTCAAGAAGTATTTTCCAGACGAACGCCAACTACATCTCATCATTTTGGATTCCAGGGTTCACTCTGAGGATGAACTCGATAAAGACAACCACCAATTTCGACGGAAGCTGCCTTGGAGGAAGGAGGATTTTGACACTTTACTCAATTTGCTTGGTGAGCTATGCATTCACTTGAGAATGGATCCTCGGGGTGAAAGTATTGCGACCAAAGCTTTACGCCGAGGAGATCATGTCGAGATGAGTGAAGAGGACAAAAGTAGATCGTTCCCTCCAAAGAAGTTACCGAGATCTTTGGTGAGGGACGATTATGTAACGAAGTACCTCACAATGGCTCGACAGTCGGAACTTGCGTTATCACCAGATGAGTTTGATCTTAAGGACATGATTGCCAAGTTGAGACGGCAGATGTCATGATATTTGGAAAAACCAAGTAGGGAGGGGATTCATTTGTCTTTTTTTTCAAATCTAATCACTCTATACACAATCATTATTTTTTCATTTGTAGTCGTGGTTTTCTCAACTTCTAGTTGTCGTTTTCTTAGAATTTTTGACTCCAATCGATACAATCGATCTAAATTTGTCTCTTAACAATTCTCATTTTCTCTTTGTTTCTGATTCCAAAAATTCTCTCAAGTCTGGTTAGTTATCGTCCCAGACTAGGAGGACGTATTCATCTTTATGTGAGTTGAAAGGAAAAGAAACGGTAATGAGAACAAAGGTAATTAACCGGGTTGGACTCGAGTAGGTTAGTAGGGAGCTGAGGGGTTGAGCCGAGCTCTGAACAGAGCTTGAGTCGAGCTCTGAACAGAGCTTGAGTCGAGCTCTGAACAGAGCTTGAGTCGAGCTCTGAACAGAGCTCGGGGAGGTGGTTTGAATCTCTAAACCTGCTCAAGTTGAGAAAGGCCACTCAACAAATTGCTTAGCACTGAGTATAAGTTTTGGATGAATCTCGACACCAAACATGCATCACTCCCTCGCTAACGCGTCGGGAGTGTGAAATTTGGACCCTGTGTACACATCTCTGTGCGAAGAAGCGACTTCTATCAAAAGTTTGACAAACGGAATTACCCAGCACTCACCCTCCGAATGTATGACAATGCGAATAATCACCATATTATCATTAATCGGTGGATCGCATGTCATTGTCCGATTTTCTACTTGCAACTCCTTGCTTGATGCTTTCACTGACTGCATTTGTTATCTTCTTGAATCAACAATCACAATTAATTAATGCCCTGCAACTGGTAAGGCCTCAGAATCTATACTCACAGGTCCCCAATTTACCTTGTTTTCACTCAAGATGACATGTTGTACTCTAATACAATAACATTATCATACCTGATCATTTGTTTAGCAGTGAATCGACCCACACGAAATCCCCGTGTCGATTCATTGACCATTTCCTCTGACATTTTCGAACTCGCTTGGACAACGAGAAGACGTTCCTTTCGGCGATCAGACAAAACACGTCTCGATAAACAAAATGTCAGCGGTGACAATCATAATCTTGTGTAATTCATACAAGCAGTACGTCATGAAGTAGTTTTTTTTCACACAATTGTTGTCCTCTGTCTTTATTCATTGTTATTTATCTTTGTATCTATTTATTTGTGGTTTGATTCGTATATAAAGACACAGACTCTTGCTTTATATTCGCTCAGTTTTGTGAGTTAACTAATTACCAATCCCCATTGACTAATACCGTCTCGAATCACGTATTGGTAAATCAATATTGTATTGTATATATAGACACTCCGGACTCATCCCAATCCAAAACGACAACCCGCTTCCCGTTTGCTTGATTAATATCTTGACTGACCAAGATTTGCCTTCTTTGTTATACCATTTAAATTTTGGACCTTAGATTCACACAATGCCCAACCCTGACTTTAACAAACCAACGGGCCATGGTGTTTATTTCTCGGGGAACTTCGAGATTGAGAAGAAAGTACGCAACCCTACTTCCGCATTTGTTACCTGTCCCAAGTATTGAACCTTGATCTCTTCCAACAGCTTCCATCCGATCTAGGTAAAAAATCTGGCTATTGCAGTTATGTGGTATCCATCAATTGCGGTGGCGCTGACCGCGACGAAGAGACTCAATACGAGATTCGAGCTATAGGCTATAGCTCACCCTCAATGGCACTTGACGAAAATAAATTTTACTTTTTACGAGGCTTATTTTTTCCGACAAACACATTGAACACTCACATGGATCATCTTTACTTTGAAGGTTCTGACCAGGCAATGATTGGCCCGGCCGAAGAATTCAAAGGTGAGGTCATTAACACTGTCGGTGTAACTGGCCTTGGAATTGTTACAAAACTCCAAAATATTGTTGAGGACTGTTGCCGAAACCTCAAAGATAAAGACGACTTAGATGATCCTAAAACAATTGTGGCAACTGTGAAACACACCGATTACCACCCAAACGTAAGTATATTTCTTCATAAAATCCATTTTATGTTACATTTTATATTGACATCGTATTATAACTGGCAGATCAAACCTGCTCCAACCTTTTACGTGGAATACCGTATTTGCCCTCTCAAATACCTTTCCGGCATCCCGCGAATTCTCAAATTGGGTCGTGAGGCCATCTTTCATGGTTACCTCAAGGACTTTAACGAGGAGACTCGCTGTTACATAGTAATTGTAAGCTTATAATCATTATGGCACGCTCCAAGTCGCTTATAATGCTTCAACACAGGCCAATCGCGTCTCAACTACTTGTGGGCATCGTGATGAACGGGAATTCGCAGACAAAGTGATCAAAACCGAAGAAGTTAACGACGGATCTGGGCGCTCAAAACCGAAAAAGTAAGCAATTTCTTTTGCCTGTTGATGACAAACTTAAGCCAAATTTCCTGTTTGTTTCTACTTTTAGGTTCACCCCGAAATCAGTCAACGCACCCTTCAAATCACCAATTGTTGAACAAACCTCCAAAGTGAGCACTCGATCTGGTCCCGCCGATCATCCTGTGGCCCCAGATTCTCCCGGTAGCGAATTAAGTAATCCCTTGGCCGAGGAGCCGGTGACCAAAAAGAGACCTGCTACTACAACACCTAAGAAGAGACCTCGAGCCCGTCCTGCGCGTCCAACTTCGAGCAGCACAACTCTTGACTTGACTACTTGAAATCAGGTTTTCAAACGAAATTCGTAATTGAATTTCTTATAGGCTTTTGCAAACCCATCACAAGTTAACATTCACCATTCCGTTGAAGTTTCATCTAAACCAATCATTGTAATAAGATTGTTATTTTTTTCTTGAATATAATCCACCTTAAAAACATGCCAAATTTAATTTTGTTGAGTGGTTCGAGTTCGGACAATGTTTCCTTATTTAGATCCCGCTGCATTTAATCTACTTCGGTAGCCTGTTCATTGAGTTGCTCTCTTGGTAATACTTATATTTAAATAACATGATCCCTTGCCCTCCAACATTGTTTGAACTCGTAAATGCAAGTGAACTCTCAATCCGCACGGTCAATGAATTTGCCAATCAGCTGTTAACCACAGACCCCTACGCAAATATTTTGATACGAACTGTGCTATCTAATCCTCGTAATTGATTCCATTACTCCTACTTCGTGTGCCATCAGATAAGCTTGAAGTCTCAGTCAAACTGAAGACTTACATACAAGTTCATGAGGCACAATTCTGAATTTAATGTCAGTAATATAGCACCAATCTTGGAAATCTGAAGCTGTTCGTAAACCAAAAAACTATTGATCCAACATTCAACAAAAATCTAGAAGTCCATACGAAATGTAATATCTCTTGATTTTTGGTAACACATAACCTTTCTGTTACCAAAGGTCAAAAAATGGAGTAACATTTAAGAAATCCAAATATGACCTATCTCCACCAACACAGTTGAAACTTCAGGATATCAATAATCAAGGAGTAACATATGCGCACAATTATTTGTGAAGTAGCAACAATGGCCCAAATCAAATACAACTGCCTTAATCATGACAATGCCTGTGTCAAAAATCTACCATAAGCATTGGTGATTATGGGAATAAGGTATACTTCACGCCGAGATCCAAACCCAAGTGCTCATCTCAAACGCCCACGTATACAACATTGGATCAAAGACTTCATTTGTTGAACTCTACCGCAATGTACACAATGATGTACACTGTTACCCGGGTCTCTGGCACTTGACCACGATTTGATAAGAACAAACAAAGTCATTCCTTGCGTAAGTTTGCAGAATCTTGTTATGTATTTGAGTCATGCTACTAACCCAATTTGATGAGATACTCTGTACGACGGCAAGATTTCTGGGAACACACATACAATGTCGGTAATAAGTTCATTTACAAAATTTCGCAACCTGAGCACAAGATCGGAGCACACAAGTTAATCATAATATAAAAAAACGTTTTTTAGGATCCCCTCGACACTAACGGAGTTTGATTTAATGCCTACATAACAATCAACCCGAATTCGGATTGACACTATCGGTGGACCTCGCAACGATATGTAAGTAAACATGAGGTGAGCCCCGTTTTTGGTATTCAATTGACACATGACAAATGAAAAACTCTTTATTATCTTCAAACCGCGCCTGGGAACTTGATGATGGTTTGTGTTGATTTGCAGTGGTAACAGCTACAAGAAGAGAATTGTCCCTATTAATTTTGAAATTAACATTAACTCTTGAGAACGACTTACACAAAGATTGGGGTCCATTTCTCGAGGAAACATAACTAATGACAAGAATAAGTCCTTTAGATTCCAATATTCAAAATAACGGGACTTTGATAGCTTACGTGGTGTGAATTGGTTCAAGTGAATGCACGACGATCTGAGGGACCGAAAGGGCCAATTGATGTTTCAAATGTTGAAACATTTGGTGGTCCATATGTTTTATCACAAGCCCCAGGAATGACGGTGAATTGGTGAAGTTGATGATATAATGAACTCGATCCTCTCCACAAACTTTACAATACGTATCGATAATGCTAACAATCTCACGTTGAATAGTATAAGACAAACGAGCAATGGTTTCAGAAATATGAAATGGCTGGGCTGGGTTTACGATGTTGTTCACATTTTTACACATTCTTGAATGAATCGGCATGATGATGAAGAATGTTGGAATCAGAATTTTTTTTAATTTATTATTGGGAATCAAGAGTTCTACGAGCGAATGAACGTGTGATAACTAATTATATACTTGGCTTATTAGACACTACGTTTGGGTACGGTCCCGGAGACTGATTTCACTTTAGGGAGCGGTGAAACATAGTTCATGGTAAATCATGACCGTTCACGAATAACTCAATCGACTTTCAACATAAATTTGTTCTCCGGAAGATTGTCGCGACATTGAGCATTAATCAACAAAACATTGTACACACGGAATTAGATTCAGCAAGGGCAATGGCAATGTACAATCATC